TATGCATTTTACTGTATATTAATTATGTCTCTATACAAGTAAATAAACTAAACATTCAACTTAATATCTGGAAGAAAAGTCACAGAAGCAAATCCAAAATGACCAGTAACTTATGAAGGCAGAAATCAATGGGGAAAAGTGAGAAGAACAAAACAGTGGAAAAAAAAGTAAAATAAAAATCAATTTATTTGAAATATTCATTAAACAAAGCTCTGGAAAGAATGAACAGAAAAGGAGAATATGAAGAAAGAAAAAAACAAAGGAGGGTTTTAAAGCATTATAACTATATACTAGCAAGTTGAAAAGCTTACATGAAATGAATTAATGAACTAAATATTAAAGAAATTAAAATGACAGATCTCCCTGGCTGAGCATAGTGGCTCACACCTGTAATCCCAGCACTTTGGGAGGTCAAGACAGGTGGATCACTTGAGCCCAGGAGTTTGAGACCAATCTGAATACATGGTAAAACTCGGTCTTTACAAAAAAAAAAAAAAGTCCAGCAACAACAAAAAATAAGCAGAGCATCCTTGGTGCGAGCCTGTAATCCCAGCTACTTGAGAGGCTGAGGTGGAGGGACTGCTTGAACCTGGGAGGCATAGGGTGCAGTAAGCTGAGATGGCAGCCCTGTACTCCAGCCTGGGCAACAGAGTGAGACTATGTATTTAAAAAAAAAAAAAAAGATCTCCACTCTATAAACAAACTCTGGGCCAACATGGTTTTACAAGTGTCTACTCATATTCTCATGAACATTTCCTATCATATACAGGATGGTGGAAAAACTAAAAATAGTGAAAGGGGCCCAGTTCATTTTGTGAGACTAATGTAATAGTGAATTACAAAACAGATAGGCAGAGTAATGAAAATGTTCTGTATCTTAAGAGGAATGTAGATTACATGAGTGTATACATTTGTTGAAACTCACTGTAAACCATCGTTTTTGGAAGATAATCATTTCCCTTAAATAAATCTAAAAAACCAACAAACTGCTACAACCAATAAGAAAACTGCCAGATAGAAGACCAAAGTATAAAAATTGAAAGCATCTTAAGCCAGTAAAAATCAACTAGAAAATATAATTAAAAACAGATTAGCCATAAACTTTAAAGGATCTAACAGCCAAAAATTCCCAAGAAATCTATGGAGAGAACTGAATGGAAAGACATTTCACGTACTTAAATAGGAGAACCTAATCCTATAAAGATGCTAGTAGTCCCTAAATTAATCTATAAATTGAATGCATTCAAAATTAAAATTACATTTGAATATTTTTTTAAAAAGACACAAAAAAGCTCTAATAATTCCTAAATGCTATCAAGAATATAGAGATGCTTAAATTTTATGAAAGACTAAAGATTCATCAAGAACAAAGTCAACCCTAGAAAAAGAGTAAACAAGAGACTTTGCTTTACCATAAAAAAATTACCAGAATATGATAGTGCTTTTTTTTTGTTAATGTGATATGGGAGCACAAGAATACAGATCACTGGGACATCACAGACATTTCAGAGACAGCCCATATACTGTATATAAACAGCAACCACATATACTTATCATATGTAAATATACATAAATCATATATGACTAATGAAGTTATAAATATGATAAAGATGGCATCACAAATCAATAAAAAAAAATGTGGATGATTTAAGAAGTACTATGGAGAAAACCTGTTCACTAGATGGAGAAAAAGAAAACTGGATCACTACCAATATTATATAAAAGGTAGACCCCTAGATGGATTAAAGAGTAAGTATAACAGTAAACCTAAAAGTAATTACAGAGGCTGGGTGTGGTGACTACACCGTAATCCCAGCACTTTGGGAGGCCGAGGTGGGCAGATCATGAGGTCAGGAATTCAAGTTCAGCCTGACCAACATGGTGAAATCTTATGTCTACTAAAAATACAAAAATTAGCTGAGTGTGCTAGCACACGCCTGTAATCCCAGCCACTCAGGAGGCTGAGGCAGGAGAATCACTTGAACCCAGGAGGCGGAAGTTGCAGTGAGCTGAGATTGCACCACTGCACTCCAGCCTGGGTAACAGAGCGAGACTCCATCTCAAAAAAATAAAAATAAAAAATAAAAGTAATAACAGAAACTGTAGAATATCTTTGTGGCCCAGGGATGGAGAAGCAGTATTTAACACTTAGGATACCATCAAAGTCTATGAAATAAAATTCTAGTTTTTGAATTTCTTTTTTGAGCCATTCTATTTGTAAAGACTGATATTTGAGGACTTTCACTCTTTCGTAGAGATCATCGAAAAAACAAAAATTAATTTTTAATAGAATACCTCATTCTATCTTGCAATTACCAGGTCAAATTGACCCTTTCATAAATCTATAGTACATTAGAGAATCTTACGGATCTTATTTTTCCTATGTTTTGCATTTTTAAATTACATACTGGGAATTACTTCATCATTACTTATGATTTTCATCAATTATTCCCAACTATACTAAAAAACAAAATTAAAATTAAAGAAAAAAATGAAGAATGATGGTGTATGGTAGGCAGAATAATTGCCCCAATGATACACATGCTCTAAACCCCAGAGCCTATGAATATATTACCTTACGTGGCAAAAAAGGACTTTGCAGAAGTGATTAACAGTAAGGACTTAGAGTTGGGGAAATTATCCCAAATTATTTGGGTTGGTCTAATCTAATCACATGGGTACATAAAAGCAGAGACCCAACCTTTCCAGACTGTAGTCAGAGGGAGAGGTGATGGTGGAAGAATGGTCAAGAAATGGGATACTGCTGCCTTTGAAACTGGAGGAATAGCAAAGCCAAAGAACGCAGCAGCCTCTAGAAATTAAAAAAGGTGGCCAGGTGCAGTGGCTCACACCTGTAATCCCAACACTTCGGGAGGCCGAGGCAGACAGATCACGAGGTCAGGAGATCAAGACCATCCTGGCTAACACAGTGAAACCCTGTCTCTACTAAAAATACAAAACACTGGCCAGTGTGGTGGCACGTGCCTGTAGTCCCAGCTACTCAGGAGGCTGAGGCAGGAGAATTGCTTGAACCTGGGAGGCGGAGGCTGCAGTGAGCCAAGATCTCACCAGTGCACTCCAGCGTGGGCGACATTGCAAGACTCTGTCTCAAAAAAAAAAAAAGTTTCATTTCCACCCACAATGGCCAAGAGAAGAAAATGACAGAGGAATACATCTCACAACTATTAGACAAATCAGAAAATAAACACCAACAGTAAGTAGCATTTTTAGACTCTGAAGCTGATGGTGGTAATACTGACTATAAGTAAAATCTCAGAGTTTTCACATAACAAAATCCTAGGTGAATTTTCTCAAATTCAACAATCAATGAATTGAACAATATATTTCTAAAGAAAAAAAAGGAAACACAGTAAGGACTGCATCATATAATATTCTGCAAATAAATTCTGGACCACCTCATTATGCTCAAAGGACATATCACAGTATTCTTTCATCTTTTATGTTTGTGAGCCAAAATTTACTTGATACAAAGAGGTGTACCTTATAATTCTTATTAAAATATTTAATAAAGTTGCTTTTCATAATACTTTTATTCCTGTGTCTATACATTAGTAATAAAGTAACTTTATAAAAATACAAAGAGGGTCTATTTGACCCAAATGGTTAATGGTGATGCCTATTTTTGTTAAATATCAAGAGTTAGTCAAAACTTCCAAGGCACAAACCATAAGGCAAAAAATTGGTGAGGCTGATTACAACAAATTTAGAGAGTTCAGTGTGTTATGAATTCACACAACTCCGTTTCAACAACAGAGACCCTCAACAAAGTAAGAGACATCTGACAAAGTGCAAGAAGTTACTTATAATGCATGAAGTCAACAAGAAATCATTATATAGAATATACATGGAACATGGGAATATCAGTTCAAAAAAGGAAGTAATACTAATATAAAAACAGACAAAGAATTAAAATAATTTCTAAGACTCCCAACAAGCTAACAAGCATATGAAGAAATGCTCAAAATAATTGATGGTACAAGTAAAACAACATGATATATTTTATACTTAAACGAGGAATGTGGATGGTGTCAAGTGTTTCCAGGATATGGAAACAGAAATACTTATGCACTCTGCTGAAAATGCAGATTAGCACAACTGTTCTGAATAGCAACCTTGTATTATTTATCCGATTTCAGTCTCTACATACCCTGTGATCTAGCAATTGTGCTCTTGGGAATATATCCTAAATAGTCACAAAGATCCATAAGTAAACAAGTACATGAAAACTCACCACAGTTTGAGGTAGATAATCTGAGTCTATAACTGAAAGGCTGAACAAAGCGATACCTAACCTTTTTGGTACTCGGTATCAGTTTTGTGTAAGACAATTTTTCCATGAAATGGGGGGAGGTGGGGGTGGAGTGGGGAATGGTTTAGAGATGAAACTGTTCCACCTCAGATCAGGCATTAGATTCTCATAAGGAGCGCACAACCTGGATCCCTCGCAAGTGCACAGTTCACAACAGGGTTTGTGCTCTTATGAGAATCTAATGCCGCCACTGATCTAACAGGCAGTGGAGCTCAGGCAGTAATGCGCACTCTCCTGATGCTCACGTCCTGCTACGTGGCCAGGTTCCTAACAGGACTGGTACCAGTCCTCAGCCCAGGGGTTAGAGACTCCTGGCCCAAAAGATATACACTATTAAAAGTTTTATGCGACAGTTAGAAACAGTGGATGAGATGTACAGATAGGACCACAGATGATAAGGGCAAGCAGGGTAAGAAAGTACATAGTAAGAGACAAGTAGGACAATCTATGTAACTCCTTTTTACCCCTGAAACATATTATGTTGTATTATAATGCCCCTGAAAATGGTATACTACATTAAAAACAGGTTTATCAACATTGATTTTATTTATTCTATACATTATAAAAGTTACAATAATAATATGCTGTTCAGCACATATGTAAGAATCCTTTACATATTTTAGACCACTTAACACAAAGAAAGACTATCAAAGATGAGAATTTTGCTCACTTTAGCTCCAACACTGCAACTGCCCGTACTCCCAGTGCTTCCACTTGCAACTCCAGTAAATCTAGCTTCCAGTAACTCTTGCCTTCTTGGATCCAGACTATGAAGCTCATCCATTGCACCTATTAAGAAAAAAGAAAAAAATGTACATATATATAGGTATGTGTGTATACTCACATACACACAAATACATACATGTGATTTGTTAAAATGTCGAAAATTTAGAGATGAATGCTATAAGAAGACAAAATTGAAAGACTTTATTTTTAAATGTTCACATCAACTTATCAAAACATCCTACCTACAATGGATTTCCAACACTTTTGGCTGCAACTCACAGAAAGAAATATATTTTCCATCCAATTCAGTACACAGTTACAAACATTCATATATTTAAAAGTTTCACAGCATGCTTAATCTTACTGCAATGCAGTAGTAAGAGTCCTGTACAACATCTATTTTCTAGTCTATTCTAGTCCATTTAAAACAAGGATAGGGTGACACTAGAACAAAGCAATTAAACTGATTTTACAAACCATGGGTCCATAGTTTAAAAAAAAAACTACTCTCCTAATGTAATCTCCCTATTAACCCAGAATCTTAACACTATGTAACATTAGCACTTATTTTGTTTATGTTTATCTTATATAACTAACAACATTTTAAACTGCAATGAACTATTTTATTATTGTCACAATCCTTTAGACTTTTTGTACAGTTGATAGTTTTAAGTTTCCATCAGGTAAATTAAACTCAGACACATCAAACAGATGACTACCATTAAACAACCACCTTGAAAATTGAGACGAAAAATTTAACAACCTGATGTTACTGTTATCATGAAGACTAAAGCACTCCAAATTCTAGATGAAATTCAAACAAATTCTTAAAAATTATTTTATCTATGTCTGCTAACTGTGCTCTGACAAAAACCCTAGAAGTGACATAAACGAATAGCTCTCAAAGGGAGCAGGTAAGGATATTACCAGAATCCAGAATGACTTGCGGAAGGAACATTTTCAAACTGTATCAGCCCCCTTCCACACATCCTGACATTCCTCCCCTAAAGGTTAACAACTATTCCTATAGATCTTCTTTTGAAATTTCATTTACTTTTTATGCTCACCTGGACAGAGGACTAGATGGATGGTAGCCACATCTTCATGCTTATTTGCATCCCTGTAGCTGAAAATACACCTTCCCCTGTCTATTTCTCCTTCTATATCAAAAACAAGAGGTAACTCCCTCTAAAAAGCTAAAGTCTTTAACACTTGCTTTTGACCTCATTCCTTCTTGACATCCAAGATATCTTGTATTCACAAGTACCCTACCTCTCTGGCATCTATTCACTCATTTCCTTCTACACTCATTTATATCTTTTTAGAAGTCTACCTTAGCTTCAATTTCATTGTACTATCATTTAATTCTTCCCTTAAACTGGTTTATAACTATATCATCCTTAGTATCATCAATGCTTTCATTTTTTTCTCTTCCTGTTATTACATCAGAAACTGTGTGTTATTCCTTCACTGAGGGGAAAAAACCAAAGCAAAAACATATAAAGTTCTAGGTTTTCATAATTCAACCACACCTGTTCCCCCACCACCTCCTTTTCTCCTAACGGTGAATATTCCCCAAGGCCTTCTGTTTTCTTTTCAGAATTCCTTTGGCCTCAAACATGATTCTCAAATCAAACACCTATTATATGCCAGGTCTGCCAAGTCTTAAGCTTGGCACTGAAACTTACAATCTACTGAAATTTTGCTTTATAAAAAAATACATCAATCCTTTCCTGGCACAGGACTATTTTGAAAACATTAAGTCACCATTTTAAAAATAAGAATATGGTATTGGCATAAAGACAGATGTATAAATAGATAAATGGGATAAAGCAGAGAGACCAGAAAGTATATCCTCACATGAAATGATTTTCAGTAAGAACACCAAGACCATCCAGTGGGGTAAGATCAGTCCTTTCAACAAATGGTATAGGGAAAACTGGACATCCACATGCAAAAAAATTAAGTGGGATCCTTACTTTAACCATATACAAAAATTAACTCAAAATGGATAAAATACCTGAATATAAGACCTAAAACTTTCTAACTCTTAACAACATACAGATAATTTAGCAACGGTTTCTTTAACACAACACCAAAAGCACAGGCAACTAAAGCAAAAATAGGGCCAGGTACAGTGGCTCACACCTGTAATCCCAGCACTTTGGGAGGCCAAGGCAGGCAGATCTCTTGAGATCAGCAGTTCAAGACCAACCTGGCCAACATGGCAAAACTCCGTCTCTACTAAAAATACAAAAAACTTAGCTGAGCATGGTGGTGTGTGCCTGTCATCTCAGCTACTCTGGAGACTGAGGCAAGAGAATCGCTTGAACCCGGGAGGCAGAGTGGGACTCAGTCTCAAAAAAAAAAAAGAAGGATAACAGGTAAGTTGGACTTCATCAAAATGAAAAACTTTTGTGCCTAAAAGGACACAATCAATAGAGTGAAATGGCAACCCACAGAAAGGAAAAAAATATCTAAAAATCATCTCAGTAACAAAAAACAACCCAATTTTAAAAATGGGCAATGTTTCCAAAGAAGATACACAAACGACCAATAAGCACATGAAGAGATGCTCAACATTAATTATGAGGGAAATGCAAATCAAAAATCACAGTGAGATATCACTTCATACCCATTAGGATAGCTGTTGTCAAAAACTAAAAACCAAAATATACAAGTGCTAGTGAGGATGTGGAGAAACTGGAATCCTTTTGCATTGCTGGTGGGAACAAAGAATGATGCAGCCACTGTGCAAAACAGTATAGTGGTTCCTCAAAAAATAAAATTGAGTTATCATATGATCTGGCAATTTCAATTCTGAGTATATAACCAATAGAACTGAAAGCAATGACTCAAACAGATATATGTACAAACACGTTCACAGCAGCATTATTCACATTAGCCTAAAGGTAGAAGCAATCCAAGTGGCTATCAACAGATGAACAGATAAACAAAATGTGATATCTACATACAATGGAATATTATTCAGCCTGAAAAATGAAGAAAATTTGGGTGCATGCTACAACACTGAGAACTCTGAAGACACTATGCTAACTAAAATAAGCCAGTAACAAAAGGTGGTTGCCAGGGGTTGGGGAGTGTAGTAGAATGGGAAGTTAGTATTTAGTGGGTACAGTTTCAGCTGGGGAAAACAGAAAATTTCTACAGATGAACAGTGGTGATGGCAGCACAACAATGTGAATGTACTTAATACCACTGAACTTTATACCTAAAAATAGTTAACAGGGTAAATTTTATATTTTGCCACAATTTAAAAAAGATAATTAAAATTTTTAAAATTATTTCAAGTTTTAATTTAATTATTAAAAAAATAATTAAATGTGGTGGCTCCTGCCTGTAATCCCAGCACTTTGGGAGGCCAAGGCAAAAGAATCACTTGAGTCTAGGAGTTCAAGATCAGCCTGAGCCAACACAGCAAAACTCATCTCTACAAAAAAATACAAAAATTAGCTGGGAGTGGTAGTGCACATCTGTAGTTCTAGTTGCTAAGGAGTTGTGGTGGAAGATTGCTTGAGCCCGGGAGGTCAAGGCTGCAGTGAGCCAAGATTGTACCACTGCACTCCAGGCTGGGCTACACAGCAAGAATCTCAATTAATAATTTCCTAATTCAATAAATTGGACTTCACCAAAAATTCAAAATGTTGCTAGTTCAAAAGAACACGGTTACAAAATGAAAAGGCAAACAACAGACTGGAAGAAAATATTTATAAAGCATATATATGCTATAAACTATGAATACTCTGGCTTAGTAACTGATTGATGGCAAACTGAAATTTACCATGTAAGATCAGGACACTGGGCCCTACTTTTTGACCTGGATCAGTAAATAACAACGTATTTTGTTTCCTATTATTTTTCTCAGACGTACAGCTTCCTCTAGGACCTCAACCCTTCTATGAACAAATGAGTTTCTAACCAAAAACTCTTAAGAGCACAACTTCTCCTTAATTCTTAACACCTTCTAATAAGATATTTTAAAGAGGCAATATATGCAAGAGCCCCTGGTGTAATTCCTGGCACATAATAGATGCTTAGCAAATGCTAAAACAGTAGAGCTGTGCTACTCAAACTACAGTTCATGAGCCAGCAGCAACTTTATCACTAGGACACTTATAAGAAATGCAAAATCATGGGTTCCTCTACAGACCAGCCAAACCAGAATCTGAATCTTAACAAGATCCCCATTCATGTTTGAAAAGTACTTCTGTAGAACACAGATCTGTGACTTTTTCTGTAACGGGCCCAATCACAAATATTTTAGTCTTTGCTGGCCAACAGGCAAAATCCTATAGATACTTACATAACAAGACAGAAACAATTATTTTTCTTTTTTTCTTTTTCCTTTTTTTTTTTTTTTGATGGAGGTCTCATTCTGTTGCCCAGGCTGGATGCAGAAACAATTTCTACAAACTTTATTGATAAAATTCAAGACACAATAATGAGTATAATAGACCAGGTGCAGTGGCTCACATCTATAATCCCAACACAGTGGGAGGCTGAGGTGGGTGGATCACTTGAGGTCAGGAGTTCAAAATCGGCTGGCCAACATGGTGAAACCCCATCTCTACTAAAAATACAAAAATTAGCTGGGCGTGGTGGCAGATGCCTATAATCTCAGCTACTTAGGAGGCTGACGCACAAGAATCACTTGAACCTGGGAGGTAGAGGCTGCAGTAAGCCGAGATCACACAATGCACTCCAGCCTGAGTGACAAGAGAAAACCCTGTATGACCAAAATAAATAAACACACACACACACACACACACACACACACACACACACACACTCGCGCACGCGCACTCTCTCTTCCCCTTTTCAAAATAGAAGTCTGCTAATGAAAAGAATCAAATTCTTTTTGAGAAGATAGCACCGCACTTAATTGGGGTTTCCTATCATTAAAATCTATTACAAATACTCATCTGTTAATTTTTTTTGTTGAGACAGAGGCTTGCTCTGTTGCCCAGCTGGAGCCAGTGGCATGCTCAGCTCACTGCAACCTCCATCTCCCAGGTTCAAGAGATTCTCCCACCTCAGCCTCC